CCGTAAGAGGCCTTGTATGGTAGGCGATGCCGGTCTCCAGTGAGTTGGTTCGAACTGGGCGAGGTTAGGCTATTGGATACAGACTTGGTTCAGGATGCCTTGGATAAGGTTAAGGTGACTCAGGCTAGACTTCACACAGCCCAGTCCAGACAGAAGAGTTATGCAGACCGGAAGGTTCGCGATGCTGCATTCATGGTTGGTGAGCGGGTCTTGCTCCGGGTTTCGCTTATGAAGGGTGTTATGAGGTTCGGGAAGAAAGGCAAGTTGAGCCCTAGGTATATTGGGCCTTTTGAGATTCTTGAGAGAGTTAGGGAGGTGGCTTACAGACTTGCACTACCACTTAGTCTCTGCAGTTCATCCAGTGTTCCATGTTTCCATGCTCCGGAAGTATCACGGCGACCCGTCTCATGTGTTAGACTTTAGTTCAGTTCAGTTGGACAAGGATCTATCTTATGTTGAGGAGCCAGTGGCTATTTTGGACAGGCAGGTTCGAAAGCTGAGGTCAAAGGATATTGCTGCCGTGAAGGTTCAGTGGAGAGGTCATCCGGTCGAGGAGGCGACTTGGGAGACCGAGCAGGATATGCGCAACCGTTATCCTCATCTTTTCACCACTTCAGGTATGTCTCCATGCTCGTTCGAGGATGAACGATTGTTTTAAAAGGGGGAGGATGTAACGACCCAGCCGGTCGTTTTGAGAGTAATAGACCCGATCCCCTATTTACTGCTTCTCCCATATCTATTTCTTCTATTGTGACTTGCCGAAAGGTTTCGTTTTGGTTTTTGGAGTGTTTTGGGACACTTAGTCCCTAAATGGAGGCTTAAACCTTAGGATTTGGACCGTAGTCGAAACTGTATGAAGACGACTCCGGAATGGAATTTTGTCAGTTTCGTTAGATCCGCGGGTGATTTTGGGTGTAGGGGCATGTCCGGATTGTGTTTTGGAGGTCTGTAGCTCAAATAGGCTTGAAATGGCTAAAATAGGAATTTAAGTTTGAAAGTTTGACCGGGGAGTTGACTTTTTGATATAGGGGTCGGAATCCTGTTCCGAAAATTTTCATAGCTCCGTTATGTCATTTATGACTTGTGTGCAAAATTTGAGATCAATCGGATTTGATTTGATAGGTTTCGACATCGAATGTAGAAGTTGAAAATTCTTAAGTTTCCTTAAGCTTGAATTGGGGTGTGAATTGTGATTTTAGCGTTGTTTGATGTGATTTGAGGTTTCAAATAAGTTCGTATGATGTTTTAGGACTTGCTGGTGTTTTTGGTTGAGGTCTCGCGGGCCTCGGGTGAGTTTCAGGTGGTTAACGGATCAAAAGTTGGACTTAAACAGCTGCTGCAAAAGCTGCTACAATTCTCTTCTGCTGGAAATGCAGAATCGAGCCCAGGGTCGAGGCTCAGGATCGAGGGCCATGATCGAGGCTTAGGATCGAGGGCCATGATCGAGGCTCAGGATCGAGGGCCATGATCGAAGGCTCAGGATCGAGGGCCATGATCGAGGCTCAGGATCGAGGGCCATGATCGAAGGCTCAGGATCGAGGGCCATGATCGAAGGCGAGAATCGAGGGCCATGATCGAGGGCCAGGATCAAGGGCCATGATCGAAGCCTTGATCGAGGGCCATGATAGAGTCAGGACCGAGGGCTACCTGGTCATAATTATAAAACAGGGGACTTCGTCCCATGTGCCATTTTTGACCAATTGGAGTTTGGGAAGAAGCGATTTTTGGGAGATTTTCAGAGAAAACATCGGGGTAAATGTTCTTAACTCAATTATGGTAAGATTACCCAAATCCATCATTTGTTTTCACCATTTAATTAGTGTTTTGAGATTGAAATTTGGGAAAATTTTAGAAAATTCATAGAAATGAATTTTTGAGATTTTGGTATCGATTCAGAGTCGAATTTGAGTGAAACTGGTATGGTTGGACTCGTAATCGAATGGGTTATCGAATTTTGTGAGTTTCGCTGGATTCCGAGACGTGGGTCTCACAGGCAATTTTTGAGTTAATTTCAGCTTTTAATTGAAAAATATAGTATTTTCTTATCAAATTGATTCATATAATTTTTGTTGACTGTATCGAATTATTTTGGCTAGATTCGAGCCATTCAGAGTGGGATATTCATGGAAAAGGCATTCTTACCGATTGATTGAGCTTTGTTCGAGGTAAGTGGCTTGCCTAACTTTGTGTGGGGGAACTTCCCGTAGGATTTGTACTGTTTTTGATATATGAGGGCCGTGTACGTGAGGTGACGAGTACGTACACGGGCTAATTGTGTAAAAACCCAATTTTTCTACTAAGTAATAACCTGATTTCCTTCTTATTTGAGTTCCATCAGCATTTGTGGTATCCGGCTAGACTAGAATAGCATGCCTACTTGCCTTAACTATTTACTTGAACTACGTGCAACATGTTTAGTGAATTTACGTGTCTTTCCTTAACTGGTACTTAGGTTGAACTGTAGAATTTCGTGTCGTAACTATTGATTCTATTGTTTGGCTGCATATTTACTTTGGGACTACGGAACGGTATTCCGGGAGATCCCCATGTACTGCATATTTACTTTGGGACTACGAAACGGTATTCCAGGAGATCCCCTTGTACTGCATATTTACTTTGGGACTACGGAACGGTATTCCGGGAGATCCCCTGTACTGCATATTTACTTTAGGATTACGAAACAGTATTCCGGAAGATCCCCCTATTTTGCACATTTACGTTAGGACTACGAGACAGTATCTCGAAAAATCCCCTGTTGTTATCTCTGTGTACTGAGCTGTTGTCTTCTATGATTTCATTCTTGTTAAATTTCAGTCTTTATTTTACTGCGGTATTTTATTCTATATTGTGTTATTATATATATACCAGTAGGGCCCTGACCTGACCTCGTCACTACTCGACCGAGGTTAGGCTTGACACTTATTGGGTACCGATTGTGGTGTACTCATGCTACTCTTCTGTATATTTTTTCGTGTACAGATCCAGGTACTCCTTATCAGCTGCACTGTGAGCCGGGATAGCTTTGGAGACTTCAAGGTATATCTGTCGCGTCCGCAGACCTCAGAGTCCCCTTCTACTCTTCCCCATGCCCATTATCTTCTGTATTTTCTTTTGATAGACTCTGATGTATAGAGACACTAGATTTTCTTCGTGTAGTTTGTAATTCATGAATGTTTCGGATTTTGGGAATGATGTGTAGTATATTGAGGAGTTGGTTATTGTACATACCAAGTGGCATGGTACTCAGTTATAGTGTTATTACTACAGTTAGTTGTTAAATTTATGTTTTTATTTCATTTATTCCGCAAAATGTTAGGCTTACCTAGTCATAGAGACTAGGTGCCGTCACGACGTCATACGAAGGGAAAATTGGGTCGTGACAGGGAAACAAGTCGTGTTTTTTTTTACCTTTTGAGCCAGGTATTTTTCACGTAAAAATACTTGTGTTCTTTACTCTCTGCATTATTTATTCCGCAACAGTAGATTAAGGAATGCATAGAAGAACCATGTCCTTCTATAATCAGTGCACGAGAAAAATTGGACACCACACAAATCACCCATTCCCTCCCCTTCTTGTGTGGTATTGAAGCATAAAACATCAAATAAATTATTAAGATTGAAATAATCAGAATTCATGCGAAAGCTAGTAAAACATATCTTCAATGACGATAAATTAGACTAAGGAAAGAAATATATCAAAAGAGACAAAAGAAATTAACGTGGTTCGGTCCATTGACCTACGTTTACATGCGAAAATGGGCAATCCACTATATTTAAGAAGGTACAAAATATCGAGAGAATAACCTTGCAAAATTTACTTTTAAAGGAGGTAAAGAGGTTCACACAAATGGTAAGATAACACTTGTCTCAAACCCCTTAACGACTACTAAGTCAGACGGAAGTATCCTCAATTATATAAGTCTAAAATATTTTTCTCTAAGAAAAATAATTAGTCAAATATGAGAGATAAATTATTTCCTTTTAAGAAAAAGAAAAATCCATTATGATAAGCATCCTTCAAAATAGACAAATTTTAACTAAAATTGGGTATTTTGATTGGTAATTGGAATGGAATATGAAGAAGAAAACACAAAGAGTAGGACGACGTACTTTTCATGGATACATTTTACTTTAAGTAGAATAGGACCATCGATAGGTCCCCATTTTCAGTAGGGTGAAACATTTTATATTTTCAAAAGTTTTCTGAAACAAATTACTATGAGAAAAATCTTGTTTCCAATAATTTTTGAAGCGGTTGGTTCAGATTGCAATCAACAAGTTCTCTAATTCGTTATGTGATTTAATCCATCGAGTACACGGTACAGCTCCTCTTTGAACTGCATTTTCTCCATCTCAATAATAGTGAAGTGACATCTAAACTAGTTATTGTTGGACAGTTTATTTGCAAAAATGTATGAAGTGCCAAAATCACCTAACATGTCGGGTCGAGTTATAATTATTTAAGTTTACTTCTGCGGTCATATAATGAGTTGTATGGGGAGAAGAAGACATCACTAAATTACGGCTAAGAGGTTAAGAAAATAGTTCATGAGTTCGACTTTCAGTTGTGACATTTTAAACTTTTTATTTTTTAATCTACTTTTGTCTAATCCTGCCTTTGCCCTGCTTGTGTTGTGTGCGTATAAAATATAGACACAAGGATTAAAGGATATAGTGAAAATCGAAACGAAGTAAGGAGAGAAGAAGACAACACTGGATTACCAAAGAAGAGCCGAAAGGATAAGGAGTACGTGGAGTATCGGTAAAGTTGTCTCGAGTGATCTATATGTTAGGAGTATGAGCCGTAAAATCAGTCATTGATACTTTAATTAGACTACTTACATCGCACTCTTAAAACATAGAGTATGATTCTTTTTCGAATCCTGAACGTGAAATACTTTGTGTACTGGACTGTTTTTTTTTTTAAAAAAAGTAGAAAGGATATGGACCTCACCTCATACTACGAGTATACAAACACGTATACTGCTGGAAAAACAAGAAAGCAAAAAAATTGTTTCTTTTAGCCAACCTGTTTGTTTTGGCGCTATTTATACATATATCTCTATTACCACTTTTCCCCATAAACCACCATTCTACAGCACCGTTTTCCTTCTCAACATAATCTTTTGCTTCACAATATCCTCTTCATTTTTCCTTTCCTTTCTAAGCTCTTTCCAACTTTCTTAAAAAAAACTAAAAACCTCTGCCATGGCAATCATCAAAATTCTCCACACTTTATTTGGGATTTTTGGTAGGATTTTTCATTTCCATTCACTTGTGCTCCTTCCATTTAAATTTCCCTTTAGTTTTCTTGGATTTTGAGTGTGGTTCATGACTTAATTAATTGCTTGTTTTTCTTGTACTTGTTTCTTGGAACAGGCAATGTTACTGGTTTGTTTCTCTTTTTGGCCCCCATGTAAGCAGCCTCTTGAAATTTTTCTTGTCATTTTTCCTTCTTTTCTTTTCACTTTTAGGTAACATTTTCTTAACTTTTAAATGAAGCGTTACTCAAAATAACGAGGCCGAGATGCATGCAAATTGATTCGAATACCACAATTGTGAAAAATTATTTCATTTAACTCTTCTTCTTTTTTCTTGATGGTGAAGGATTACATTTAAGAGGGTCATTATGAATAAATCAACAGAACAATTTTCAGGCATACCATATGTAATGACTCTGCTCAACTGCTTACTCTCTACTTGGTAAGTTTCTTGAATTAAGCTATCTCAATTATATGTTTGTTTTGTTCATTTTTCATCTGTTTCTTTCTTTTTGGGAGTTTGACTTACTCTTGACCTTGTACTCTTTGCTTCCTAGTTGAAACAAACTTCCCCTGTTGAATAGACAAAAGCAGAGTTCTAAATGAGGTGTGGGTATTAAGTGGCCGTTTGGACATAAGAATTGTAAATTTCCGGAAAAAAAAAGAATGAAATGTTCTTAAAAGTGAAAATGGTATTTGAAAGTTTTTGAAAGTTAGAGTTGTGTTTGGACATGAATATAGTTTTGGGCTGTTTTTGAATTTTTGTGAGTGATTTGAAGTGAAAATTTTGAAAAACAGCCTTTTCGGAGTTTTTCAAATTTTTAAAAAATTCTGAAATTCATATTCAAGTGAAAATTGAAAATTTTATGGCCAAACGGCCCCTTAATTCGTAAAGCTGGATACGCTTCATTTTGTCAATGGCTAAGGTTTAATGTAAAATATCATTAGTGAATTTCTTTCATATTCTTTAGAAAAGACTTAATTAAGGCAAAACATTTTTTTAGTAAAAGAGAAAAAATATGTTTCACTAGAGGCGAATCAAGGATTTCAAGAGGATTGGTGCACTATTGTAAAGAGGTGGATCTAGAATTTACATTTAAAGAGTTTAACTTTTGTCTCTTATCCTAAACCCACTACACTTTTGAAATTATAGGTTCAAAATTATATTCTTTTTGAAACTTACTGATTTTCTCACACACACACTGTGTCGACTGTCCAAAGTGGGATTTGAACCGTTAATTTCACTTCTATAGGTGAACACATTAATTATTGCACCATAGGAGTCCTTAAACATGGGTGCACGCACATATATTTAACTAAATTTGAAAAAATATAACATTATTATTATACGTGGTTTAGGAAGAGGCTAATACCTAATGTGTTTCACATAAACTGTCAAAGTATATATTTATCCTAGAAATCAGCTTGTTATTAGCCTTGGGATTTTATGAAGTAACATTTTAGTCATCTTGTAGGTTTTACTCTCTAAATTTTGTTTCCACAAAAGAGAAAATTGATTAATTTACAACATTGTTAATTCACGATTAATTCAAATATTTATGGATTATTATAAAACAGGTATGGTCTGCCATTTGTGTCACCAAACAACATACTGGTATCAATAATCAATGGCACAGGTGCAGGACTTGAGGCATTCTATGTGTTGACATTCCTCACATTTGCACCCAAAAGGGAGAAGGCAAAAATCTCTGGAATTCTATTTGTAGTCCTTTCCATATTCTCAACTGTGGCATTGGTCTCCATGTTAGCCCTCCATGGCAATAAAAGGAAGATCTTTTGTGGCTTTGCTGCTGCAATTTTCTCTATCATTATGTATGGTTCTCCTTTGTCAATTATGGTATGTAATTTTTTTACCCTACTCCTCGAACATGTAATGCGTGACAAAACAAATTAACCGATGACAAACGTGTAGACTAAGAAATTATCATATAAATAGAAAACTGTAAAGAATGTTGTGGGAAATGTTGAGATTCCTCTATCTTTAACGGGAGAAGTTATGTTCGAGCCCTGAAAATGGTTAATCAATACTTATCTTGAATAATCTTTGCTTTTTAATTGAATAGACTAGTCATGTTGTCCTAATTAATCATTCCAAACTACTTTTATGGGAGTGCTCATCTTTTTTGGTTGGTTAAATAACTTGTCAAGTATTTGTCATGGAGTTTATTCTAATTGATTTTTATCTTGTTTTGGCAGAGGCTAGTGATTAAGACTAAAAGCGTGGAGTACATGCCATTCTTCTTGTCCTTGTTTGTCTTTCTCTGTGGTACCTCATGGTTCGTCTATGGATTGCTTGGGAAGGACCCTTTCATTGCTGTAAGCACTATATGATACTTTTAATTTGAAAAACCTCTTCTATCATTTTCATACAGTAATTATTAGGTTTAAATTGTTTGATTAATTGTAAACACCGAGTATGAAGAAGTATTTTCGGGATAAATCTAACTATGCGATGAATATTTGCAGGTACCAAACGGGGTCGGAGGTTTGCTAGGAACAACACAACTGATATTGTACGCAATCTACAGAGACAACAAAGGGAAAGGGAAAGGCAAGAAAGGCGAGGAAAATACAACTGCAGAGATGGAATTAGGGAAGCCCAAAGAGAATAAGGAACTACCTAACACCCAAAATGGAGATGCAAAAGCATGATATTTAGGATTAGTTCAATCAAAAAATAAAATGTTCCCAAACTTTATGATGCTCATTTTTTTTCCCTAATTGGAAGGGGTAATTCTCAACGAATCAAGTTGTACTGGTAGTTACTTAAAGCTATAACCGTTATTTCCCTTATTATCGTGAAAGTTCTTTAAGAAATGAAAGTCTTTTTCAATAATTTTCCATTTGTATTTTAGTTTTATGTATGTTCGCTTCGAACAAAAAATTTCAAGTACAGTAGAATGCAACCATCACAGTACTAGTAAAATTGATACAGAGACATCATTAAATAAAGTGGGAATTATGTGGTTCCCGCGAAAACAGTTCAGTAGTTATGCTGCTACGTCATTTGTATAGCAATATTTTAAGTTGGAATAAAATAACCTTCTGGACACTTTGACCGATTGATATTTTTTCTTCTTTTTCTTTTGATGGTTCTTTCCACTTTAACTACGTAAAAGAGAAATGATGATTTTGTACGTGTTATATTCTTTTTTGAACGGACTAATAAAAAATATTTATTATTTAAATTGAAATAAATTGGACTAATATTTATATTTAATATATAAATTATATATATTTATCGACTATTATGTTTTTAAACATCCTAAAAATAAAATTATTTTATTTTTTCCATCCACAACGTTATGTCATTGCACTTGTGGAAAAGTTTAAAACGGCGGTCGTTTCATTGGCAACCGATTACCAACTTTTAAATTTTAAAAAGAAAATAGAAAATGACGAAAAAGTGACAACTCCCTTATATCCAGTTGCAGACTGGATCGTAACCCACAAACAGTCACCGTTTTATATACGAATCGTCTTAGTACATGTACGTCCGACGTATATATGTGTTTATGAAATAGGTTCTACAATTATATAGGTATAGTAATATAAATAAATAAATAAATAAAGTAGAGATCGTGGCTATCCTTTTGCAAGGAAAAAAAAAAATAGCTATCCAAAATTTACTAGTAATAAACATTTAACTGATAATGATATTGAGAATTAGACAAATTGTATCTAATTGTTCTCTGTTCTATATTTGATAATTTTGCAAAATTCTCTTCATTAGTTGAAAAGAATCCATCCATAGACCATGTGTAACAAATTAATATTTTAACAAGATATAAAATATATCATCAAATATTTAATATGATTACCCAAGAACTAAATAACGAATTCTAGTCATTGTGCCTTTCATTTTGGAAAAAAAAAAAAAAAAAAAACTTAAACCGAAAATAAGTTTGAATGACCACGTATATCCAAATATCATGATTTAGTTACGCACAAGATGCCAAGAAATTTTGTACAAGTTGATATTTTCTTGGAACTTTAAACCTTTTTTTTTGGCTTACCCCGATTTTCCTATAAATGATGAAAAAGATCACATGATTTTGTGACGAGTGAAACATTGTCCGGTTCATGCCTCCAGAGTCCAGACCATACAAGTAATGCCGTGATTATCTGACGTTCTGGAACTGATTCAGAATATTGCAACCCTACCACAGATATTGGAATCTGAGTTCTTAAAAAAATTAGTAAAATGCTAGATGTCTCCTTAGTTTCCAAGAATGACAGTACTTACCTGTGAGTTCAATATATTGTTGAAGAAACTATCCTTACTATTCAGATTTCAAAATTTATGAGTTTAATTTTTTTAGATTTTTAAGGTTAAACTCATTTAAAGTTATGACCTGATGAGTTCATATCTTCTATTTATTATAATTTTAATAAATTTTTATATATAAATTTTGTACTCCGTATTAAAAGTACGCCTCTCTTCGCATTCGGTTGATTAGACGCACGTATTTCCGTATTTAATGCCCGAACACGCGTCATCCTATGATTCAGCACAACTTTTTTCGATTATCGAGGTAATCATGGCCATAAATTTAGCCGCCAAAAGCTTTTACTTATATGTATCAACTTTCTCCCTTATACTTCATAATTTTTCAAACTTCCCTTATCTAACTTGCATCTTGCTCTTTATTTTTTCTCTAATTCTCTTTAACCAAAAAACCTTCTACTTCTTCCATACAATGGCTTCTTCCTCAAAGCGCACCGATTTTTCAAAAAGCAAGAACAAATCCGAGGACTTTGCTCCTCCAATCATCCCTAGAAGTCTTATTACCACAAAAGACTTCGAAGAGAAATTCCCTACTGCTAACTCTCGTACATGGGCCGTCTGTAGGTATCCTTCTTCCATACGTCCTTCTAGCATTCCTGATGTGAAGGAAGACTGTCGTTGCCATGACTTGGATATTATTTCTCCTGATCTATCGGAGTGAGTCACCCTACCCAAGGAGGGTTTTACATATTTTTACATGTATCCCTTTACTTTGGGTGCGTTCTCTTTGAGCGGAGAGCTTGACCCCGTGATTGCGTAGTTTTGTCTCCGCTACCAAGTGTGTTTGGCACAAGTAAGTCCTTGTGTGTGGAGGACAGTTACTTTCCTTCGGCGTTTGTGCCAGGAGACTGGAGAGGAGTTAACTTTAGCTCATATGATGAATCTGTATTCTCCCAAAATCTTCCGCGGGGGAATGATAAACCTCTGCAAACGTGGCCACCATGCTCTGTTGTCTAGCATGGATGATGACAACGACCATGGATGGATGGAACGGTTCGTTGCACCTGCCACCGACGATATCATTCTAGCGATGGCTCCATCCTTTCCGGCCGTTTGGAACCGCACTCGTAAGCTCTTTGTTTGGTATTTCCTTTTACTAAATACTTTTCTATAGCCGTATTGATCCTCCATCCTTCACCTGTTTCAGCAACTCGATGGATCCCACTGGCGGTTGAAGGTTTGGACCGGTGGGTACAAAAGATCTTAGACGTTATGATGTCTGAGACTCGCTTGTGGAAAGAACTGGCCCCTAAATACGGGTGGAAGGCCAAGAATCATGGTAATTCAAACTCACCTTGTTTCAATTTTTTATGCGAAGAACTTGATTGATCCCTTCTAACTTATATATAAAATTAGGTCTACCCGCGGGCTCTGTTGCTGTTCCCGAGGAAGATGTTTTGACTGATCCTGCTGATACAGCGAGGCTGCTTCAGGAGGCGCTTACTCGAACAGGTTGCTCCGGGCCTGCTTTGGGAGCAAAAATTTCTTTACGGAGTCCTCGGCCGGAAGACAAACAACCAAAGAGAAGACACTCCTCCGTACCAGAGAAAAAGAATAAGAGGGCGGGGACTAATGCCCCCAAGTCATCTCCGATAGTGATTGTGACTAGCCCTCCTTCCGGGCCAGTCATAGACACTGTGATGATCGATGATGATGAAGAAGCTAGTGATAGGGGAGCTTCTCTACATAGAAGATGAGGATCCTCATCATCTCAACAGGATGCTCGACCTGTTGAGATAGTTACACCAACCGAGGACGGTGCCTTGACACTTTGGGGAGAGTTTGATTTGTTAGATAATGTCAACTCCCATTTTTGGGCCCCAATTGTTGTGTCTGGTACTGCGGGGCTGAGTACCAGATCCGTTTCGTCTTTGGTTGGCGAGCATCCAACAACCAGCAATGCATTTGATGCAATTGCTTCTCATTCTTCAACTCCATCAGCTTCATCTCCATCTTCGCCAACACCAGCAACTACTACATCACTTCCATCTTCATACACTCTTCTACTAGCAATTGCTTATCATCTCCACCGGCCGCACCTGAACATGAAGAAGATGTTCCTCTTCCACAGTCCCCGGTTTATGGGAATTTGGGGCAAAATTATGCTGCCCCTTTTGAAGATCCACAAAGGAGGAGGAATGTTACTCTTTCGTTCTCTACCGGGTGCAACTTGCTATCCCGGCCGGTGGAGGTTGCTAATTTTCTAAAGCTTTTGGCTTCAGAGAAAGACTGGAAAAAGATTCAGGCACTCTCAGGAGAGTGTTTGTTGAACAACGCTATGCACAACGCTGCAGCAGTACGTTCCTTTCTTCCTTTATTATTCCTTCTACTTTTGGGTGTGAACATATCCTGAATTTCACCCTTCTTACCTTATAGGCTAATTTTCTTGCTTCCGAGAGCCTTCAGAGGTTGATTCATGAAAAGGAAGAAATTACCTCCTCTCAGGATCAACTTTTGGCAGAGTAGGAGCAACATGTCGCTCGCCTTTCGGAACTGGAAGCAAAAGTTGTTGATGCTGTTATATTGGAAGCTCGTTTGCGGCAAAGTGAGCAAGAAGTGGTAACCCTTAGCCAAGAAATTGGCCAGTTGAGGGTTAGATTTGACGAAGCCAGGGCCAAATAGGTTGAAGTCCATAGCGTCGTTCTTGCTGCAACCGAATGCGAGGCTGCCTCCGCTGAAAGATTGATCAACTTAGAGGCAGCCTTGAATTCCAAAATTGAAGAGCTTGCTGCTATGGGAGCGCAACATGCCCAACTGGAAGAGAATTATAGGAAAACTATCGAGCATAATAGGCTTTTTAGTTCAACTATCCGCGACCTTGATGTTAGCCTCAAATCTGCTAGATCCGCCCAGGAAAACCTTTATGCCGAGGTGACCCAACTCAAATAAGAACTCAAGTGCCGAGAGGCTTCCCTCATTGTTGAGAAAACTTACGCCATGTATAACATGAGGAGAAAAACTTTGGAAGAGGTCAAAGCTGGTGTCGTTGATTTTGATGCCGAAATTGCTAAGGCCCGCGAGCTCGAGTTAGCTGCTAAAAGTGGACTCCCAGCGAGGCCTGATGCACCCAGTCCTTCTGGTTCCGGTTTCGAGTTTTCGAAAACTGAAGAAGAATTGGAGGATGATGATGCTGAAGGCAAAACTGGTGAAAATGTTGAGCCATTGGTGGGTCCATCTACTTCTCCCGGGGGGCGCAGACACTTTTCTTCCTTCTGGTTCCGGAGACACTGCAGTTTAGCTTTTCTTTTATTTTTCCGATTCTTGTATGTATGCCATTTTGAAATGCTTTAAATTATAAAAAACATCTTTTTCTCACGTATTGTTTGAGTCTTCTTTTCGTTTGAATATTCTTGTAAGTCTTTAATCTTTGCATTTTCTTCCTTTTAAGAATTTTTACGTCTTATTATGTGAAGCTTTGGGTGTATTTTCCCCAAAAGCATTTTTGGCTCTAGGCACCAACCTTTTTTTGTGAGGGCTTTGATAAGTATTTGCGCACGTTTACTTTTTGCATCCTTTCGTATACGACTTCGGGTGTATCTTTCCCCGAA